TCCGAAGCCCATATGGTAAAGCAAGCGTTGCTTGATCCTTTCACTGACTGTACGACTGTCACCCTGTTTCAGCGGAGTGGTAATTTGAGCTAATGTTTGGCTTCATTGACTATGTACAATACGGCTGAGCCGTCTCACACCATGCTTGTTCTAGGTTAATTGTCCTTTGCAATTTGCCCGATTGCAAGTTCTCTATCCGATCATCCGTGTATTCTCGGTATACTCTTGACACTGTCGACCTTGAAAACCCTAGCCCACTGAGGATTTTGGAAATTGAATGGCCCATGCGTCTACTGCCTACAATCTGTCCGAGATTGAAGCTGTCTAAATCGGAAGTTTTACCCATCCTGGTAATTGAAACAACTGATTAACAACAGCCATAGTACTAGCTGTATATGCATTTACCACAACTTCCTCATGTGAGCACAGATGCCGTGGAGCGCTATAAAATTTGCATAGCCATGTCTATCCATAATTCATTAGCACTTTAGTATATTGACAGTGTACTAAAATTAGAAAGCTGTTTTAGCGAACAACATACCAAATACTATCTAGAATTATATTTGAATTTGCCGCCCACAAAAGCTGCCACCCAGGGCAAGAACCCCGGCTTGCCCCCACTAGATCCGGGACTGGATAATTATGTAAGATATAATAAAAATACTAAGGCTATGTTAAGAAATAATTGGCAACCTCAAAATTAACTATTCTAGATTTGACGTTCTCCCTCCTAAATTCATCTATTCTAAAAAATTCAAGATCATTCCGAATTACATAACACTGCTTGAAAAAGGTAACTAAAATTAACCAATCATGGCTTAGATTCACATATGCACCTATGCAGTATAAATACTGCTTCACATTTCATTTAAAGGAATTATGTTCCTTTTTCCTCCGTGATTTCTGCCAGGGCAACAACACTGTACCTCTATGCTTCCTTGCCGGAAATGGTGTCGTATCTTCTTCCCTGTTACATAAAAAATCATTGTATTCAATGATGACTGAAAACTAATTTGCCTGCCATAGAGATGATTTGAAATGTGTAAAAAATAAAGATGGTGATTCTTCCATTCAGTTTTGTTAGCTGCTTCATCATGCCTTTTCCACTCGGCCATGTCTACAGCCAGAAGTTAACAGTATCGGATTCACGACTGCGCACTTAAAATATTACATATATGTACAAGATAAAAAAGTATGTAAATCACAATTCTAATTTTAATTTTCAATAGTCCTTTAACTCTCCGTTTTAATTTGATTATTTCACCTTTCCATTCTAAAAATAATAACTGCTTATAAAAAAATCATTCTGAATTGCATCCTTTTAAAACTAATCATTCTCATGTGATTCTTATGTAATGTTAATAATGCAAATAATTATGTAATGCTTCAGAAAATAATAATTGCAAATTGAGGAACTGAAACTTTCATTTTTTATGAGTTGCATACTGTCTCTTGCTTCCCTGCTTTCATATCTAGCTTTCCATAACCACACTTATTTTCTTCAGTTATTAAAAATATAAAACTTCATTAAAGAACAAGCATATCTAGTATCAATTTATCAGAAATGTATCAAAAATTTTTATCTACAATAAAAGCATTGTTCTGTCAAGTGTGGAAAGAAAGGGACAAAAGTAGTTTACTGTAATAATTTACAATTTATTAACACAGCAGATAACATGATTTATAGACTAACAGAGCTTGGTGCACAAAAGGTGTTAACAGCTGTAGAAGCTGATTTAACACTTTTTTAATTCTTGAGAAGCACATTTATGATATGAATTACACAATATGCAAATTCTCGGCCAGGTTTTTCTGCCTTCTCTACATCCTCATAATAATAAATTTTGACGAAGGAAAGAGCAGCAACATGGTTCGAAAACATGGTTCAGAATTATTTAGTTTTGGTTAAGGTTTATTTTGATTAGTTAATTTTAAGTTTCTATTCCAAAATTTCAAATTATTATTGGCTGAAGCATTATGAAAGTGTCATAAGTGTTATGTAAGAATCACATGTGAAGGATTAACTTTGAAATGATGTAGTTCAGAGTGATTTTTTAAAACATTTACTTTTTTTTTAAGATGTGAAGGGAAAATAACCAAATTAAAATCGACAATTAAGGGACTACTGCAAACTGAAATCAGAACTTTAATTTACACATTTTTTACCTACACATACTGTGTATAGTGCATGTTTGTATATGAAAGTTTTTATATAAATGTCAAAAAATCAGTATTTAGAAACAAATATATAAACAAATTAAATACATTAAAATAATAATAAATAAAATTTTAAGTAATAAACACTTTTTGAGAATTAAACTACCTTAAATAAGTTTCATTAAAACAAGAAATTTTCATGTTTATTCCAGAATATTATTTTGGCTATGAAATATTTCAGCCAGTATTTTCCACACATTTGAACACTGTGATGTACATGTAAGTAATTATGAAATACTACAACACACAGTTTGTCCATTTGACAATCTATCTACATAAATCGCTCAAAAAAATAGCTTGAAGAAAATTATTAAATATGAAATAGCAGCATATAATAATTAAATATAACAGAAACTCTTTTATAATTATAATTATCAGGTTAATCAGAAAGTATTTCATTTTTTTCCCAATGGACAGCTCAAGTGCATTTTTTCACAGAAACTTTCCTTTTAAGCTGCATAATCATTATATATTTTGACAGCTGATAATAGCAAGGCTTGCTTGTGAAAAAGTTTGATTGGTTCTACACAGTAGTTTTTAGTTCTTGCCTTTCAAATATGGTAAGTGAAAAGCATTATTTTCGGTCATATTTTACTTTTTTAGTCCAAAGGAGCTCTTGTTTTTGTTTTGCGATTTTGCATTGAAAACTTTAAAAGGATGTACAGTCAAAAGTCGTTAATCCGGACTCGTCAGGACTTCGGCGATTCCGGATTATCGATTTTTCCGGATTATAGATCATCAGTTTAAATCTCATAAGATGGCATGCAGAAATTCTAAAATTAAAAATATGAAACCGCAATTTATGAAATAAAGAACAATTATGATCTAAAGGGTATCAAAATTTACAAAAAAAAAAAAAAAGCTTAATATTTATTTGTTTACTTTATTAAACATTTCTCTCAATGTAAGTTGTTTAAGTTGCTTCATTTTATGTGATAATACTTTCTCTTTAATTCTATAAAAAGACATAATTTCTTGTTCAGTTACAAAGTCCCGTTAATTGCTGTGCCGAGAATACCGACTAACTTGTCAATCGAAATTTTTTCGTTTTCACTAACCTCTCTGTCACATTCTTCATGTCTTTATCCATTTTTTGCAGCAATTCCACTTTTTGTTTGTTGGACATCGAAACATACTTTCGTTTTGTAGATCCTTTGGAAGTTCCAGCATCGGAAATTCTATTTGACATAATCGAAAGTTCAAGTTTACTTTTATAAAATTGCTCTTACAGTCTGCAAAAAATAATAAGCGGGATCCAATTCGAAGATTAAGGAACAACGCAATCATTAACATTAACTGAAATATATAATTAGATAATTTTAGCTACAAAAAAAATGGGATAGTACAAAAAAATTTTTGAGGTGAAGCTAATCAAGTTTTACTGACCATCACAGCAAACTGGTTTCAGTCTATGTTGCCTTCAACACTTGAAGAATATGAAGCGAAAGATGTCTTTGACACATATGAAACTGGGTTATTTTACCACTGCTTAACCAATAAAATTTTATTGTTTAAGGAACAATCGTGTTCAGGGGGGAAACTGTCTAGAGAATGGATTATGGTATTGGTAGGATGCAATTCGGATGGTTCTGAAAAACTACCTCTATTTGTTATTGGCAAAAGTTTGAAACTGTGATGTTTCAAGAATGTTAGAAAATTACCTGTCGAATATACGGCAAACTAAAAGGCATGGATGATAGCTACGATGTTCACTGATTGGATCATGAAGTTAGATAAGTGATTCTAACTAGAAAAGCATAAGGTTGCAATAATAAGTGATAATTGTCTAGCTTAACTCAACATTGTATTGAAAGCTATAAAGCTTATCGTTTTGCCTCCGAATACAACAAGTGTCCTGCAGCCTTGTGATCAAGGGATTATACAAAATATGAAATTTTTCTACCGAAAGCAATTGCTTCAAAAATATTTACTCGCAATCAAAGCAAATGAAGATTTCTCAATCAATTTATTAGATGCTCTTCATATGTTGTATTCTATTCTGCATGGAATTCAGTGACTCCAAGGATGACTGAAAATTGTTTTCGTCATGCAGCGTTCTCAAAAGTATTAAGATTCTTTGGCTCCAAATGAAATGGAGAAGGAAGATACTGAAACTGAGCTGAAACTTAATTAAATGTTTGAGAAAGTTTCTGTATTATTGGACTGTCCTACTGTATCATCGGAAGAATTCGTTTCAGTAGATGATAATAATATGTGTACAGCCTCAATTATGGCAGACAGAGATATTTTGCAATTTGTTCAAAGCTAAAAATATGATTGATGCAGATTCCGATGACGAAAATAAAATGAATAATGCAGCTCCTGTTCCCACATCATTCGAAATGAGGAACATCATGAAAAGTATGTGCAGTTATTTAGACGCACATTCCAATGGTGAAATGAATAACAAAATATATGAGATCGAACAATTTGTTGATAATTTGAAGCTAAAAAAGACAATGCAAAGAAAAATAGCAGATTATTTTCCAAAAAGTCAATAAATGTTTTGTTTTTCAAAAAAACTGAAAATTTTGTATTAAATTTCATTAAGTTCTAGTGGATATTTTTGTTTCATTAATATTTATTAAATACATGCATATATACATAGCTATGTAAATAAAATCTTCTTTAATAAACTTAATTTTGTTGAATATATGTTTATTTTATTTTAATTTGACAATATCCTTTAACATGAAAAAATATTTCAGTCGCCTCAGTTTTGTGTTAAAACAATTTTCATTATATATATAAACTAAAAGGTTTTGCATATAAAAATTACTTACTTAAAAATATATGAAATCCCAACAAATGACCAAGGAGTGCTATCGCCAGTAATGATAAAGCTGCAGTTATAAACACAAAAGTAACCCAAATTGAACCGTGTACTGGCAAAAATATCAGGATCAGCTCCTCTGAAAAAGAAACCAGAAAATAATACAAATTTATGCATTGATATTATTTAGTACTGACAGCAATTAAAAAGGCTAAGGTGCAAATTTTTATCCCAAAAACAGAAATAAGGAATTTAGAAGTAAGTAAAGAGAACAACTGTTCCATTAATATCAATTGTGACATACACTGGACATACACACTACTCATTTATAGAACTAGATTACGTTTTTTTTCTGACAAACAATTTCTGTAAATAAAACTTATTAAATTCCATAACTCAAGAACGTTGTTCATAATGTGGTTCCAATTATGTATGAGCAGAAAAATGTGATTTCTTGTAGGTTTGGCAGTCTTAAAAAAGAATACTTTCAGGAAATATTTACTAAATTTAATAAATTTCCTTCTCCAAATTTTTCCTTTTCTCCATTACATTGCAGATTGATTAACTCAAGTTGCATTAGCTTCTTCAAATAAAATATTAAAAGGAATACCAAAAGATTTTAGGATCATTTTGCCAACTATAAAAATCTGTACATTTTTATTAAAATAATAGCTGCAGTGTCTAGATATAAATGGAATAAAATGTGTGCACTTGTTTGTATTCTTAAACATGCTCTAGTATTTTAGAAGTGATACACATTATTACTTTTTAGTGATACACATTATTACTTTCAGTTGGAAGCTGAATACTGATAATTTCATTTGAATGCTGATTCAATATATGAAGATGGATTTAAAGATGTTTTTCATACATAGTTCAAAGATTTGATGCACTGAACAAACAGAAATATTAAAGAAAATGTCAAATCAAATTATGATGTTTTAGGGCTTCAAAATAAAATTTTTTTAAATAGATAAATTTGGCATTCTGGTTACCCACAACCCTACAAAAAAAAAAAAAAAAAAAAAGGTATTCACGATGCCAAGCAGTATTCCCCATATATCATGTGAAGTCCATGATGTCACCAAAAATTATTTATTGGCAACCCAAGTATGCATGTCGTGTTTTGGGGGTGCATGCTAAGTTTGGATGAAGTTTGCTGGATGAGTTGTACGGATGGTTTGGATGTAAGGGGTTTGTGCAACTCTCTAATGATTTTTTTTTTCTTAAAGTGAAAACAGATTACACTGTGCATAGAAATAGCTCAAAATATCACTAAAGGATTTCTTGGAAAAAGTAAATGTTTTGTTTCCAATATTTCTTGCTTTTTAAATTTCATTCATTGATGGCTCTTTTACAAAATTCTTATTAGTACACTGCCACTTTGAAAATAGCAGCTGCAATTCCCACATTAGCTTGGTGAAAACTTTGTTGCCAATCAGTTAGCAGCTTTTGGGTGGAAGTGAAAATAATCATAAAGTATCAAGTTTAATTACACCCCCCCCCCCGAAAAAACTTGAAAGGTTTCAAATTTTAAATTACGTGCAAAGGCACTTTTTTTTAACGTTTTGTGTGTTACATTTATTTATTAATATATGTCTTTGCACTTAAATCATAAAATTAGTTCGTAGCAATGTTGCAAAAATTTTAAAATGAGCATATTAGAATTTCGATACATTTTCTGGTCGGAGATAAAACGGTTCCCATCCTTAGCGTTTCCTTGTTGCTTTGAATCCTGAGTTTGTAATCAAACTTTTTAAAGTTACAAAATCCTCGATAATATAACAAATTCCAAATTTCAATGGGCTTTTAGATGCCCATATTCGCAGTAGGGCTTACGTCTTCCAAATTGGATGGCTCTAGTACCGTTGTTTTATCACAATGCGAGAAACATACATATATTTATGCAGATTCTTCATTATTTAATTCTTTAATAAAATGGATCTTAACTTTGGTGGAACAGTTTGACAAGCAAAACGGAATTTATAGTGTTCAACGCAAATCGCAAAACGCAAACACTAGTTCTTCAGGACAAAGCCCCTTTGTACTAATAAAAAAAAAAATTATGGAAAAAAAAAAAAAAAAGAGACTGAGATTTTTTTAAAGGCTCTAAAAAAAAAGAGACTGAGATTTTTTTAAAGGCTCTAGATCCAAAGTGGACATTTCACTTCAGTACAATAATCAGTGTACCCTCCCAATCAATACTTTCTGATAAGAAACCTATTTATGCCTTTTCAGTTTCAGTCAGACTGATAATGAATATTAATGACCTCACATTTGTAGCTATAACAGCTTCATATTTTTAATGAAAAACTTCCATAGTTTTATATTTCAGAATGCATATTTCCAAATAATAAACAAAATTGAATGACAAGTGTATTGCAAAATTGATATATAACTTCTCTTTTCACATTCAAATAAGCTGGTGATACATAAATTATAAATAAACAAGTAAAGATAAAATATTCCACAGATACATAAGATATATATATATATATCCACAGCAGGTAAAAACAATATTGTCAAATAATACTTTGTTTTATTTTTCTTCTTCTTTTCTTTTTATTAAAAATGATTCCAGTTAATTTATGAAGAATACAGAAGAGGGGGCAATTCCACTGAATTAATGAAGAAAGCTGAAATTTTTTTCTAGTGTAAAATAACTGAGTAATTAAAAAATAAATTAACTATAATTTCTAACCCTAGATGGATAATCATACCATTAGAAATGCACTCACCAATGTTTCTAACACTTATAAACAATATTCAGTACATTTCTGATATAATAGATTACTTAAGAAGGGAAAAAGGCCAACAGGAAAGGAAAAGATACCTGTTAGTGTAATATTAGGGAACAAAGATGAAGATTCTGCATAGGGTTCAAAGGTTGAAGACAACAGAGAATGATGATTTGTGCTGTTAATTTCCATATTACTTGCAGGCCATAAAGAGTTGGGAGGATCATCTAACAATAAGAAAGAATCATATTAAACAAATCTACTAACTGAGGACAGGATAAAGAAAAAGAAATTTTGTCAAGGTAATATTAGTTACATATTAAGGACAAGTATGTTAATTCAAAAGTTAAGCTAAAAGAAAATTATTAAAAAAGACTTCAAAATCCAGTAACAATCAATATTACAAAATCAATTTTGAATTTTGATTTATCATGCAATACATAATACATGCAGGACAACATGATATTTCAGGATGAGAGTATTTTGCATCTTTAATTCATAATATTTAATGCCAAATCCTAAAACTGAAAATTTTTACATAAGAAAAATCACTGGGCTAATTTTTAGTTTGAGGTCTAGGTGGCCACTTTCATACAAATAATAAATGCTTAACATATAAGACAACAACTAAGCAATTTTTATTTTTAATGCATTCAAAATTCATATACTAGGATCTATTGTATCACATATTTACAAAATTTATCAATGTAATTTAATGCATGAAATGTAAGCAGCCAATAATGTAGTAAATTATGATATATGCTTTTAAATAGCTAAATCAATTAATTATATGTAATTTTTATTATATAATATACATTTAAAATTTGAAAAGAGTTCCATGCGTTCAGCAGTGGTATAAGAGACATTAATGTCTTTTTCAAAAGTTTGGTTTGTAATTAAATTATAGCAAAATTCCTTGCACAAAAAGGAATTTCAGATTTCTGAAAAAAGTATTAATGTTTCTTGGCCAAATATTTTCTTAAAAAGGAGCTCATATATATTTTTGTAAATTATTCAGGCTTTATGTTCATGGATAATAATAATGCACATGCTCATACATATCAGTTCGTAGGTGAGTTTTGCCAATGCGAAAGACTCCAACTCATGGAGTAGCTAGCATCATCTCCAAATTTGAATCTGATATATAAATGATAACTATGAATCTCATATATGAAACTGATACAGTATTCATGGCATACATTAGTTTGGAAAAGAACTGCAATCCATTTGCTTCCAACAAGCAGCATTTTGGAACTCTGAATGGAATTCTTCAAAAATGGAGTTCACTAAAAAACATCAGAAATCAGTACAAGGTTTATGTGTCAGGAAGGAGTTGTCAAATTACATATTAATTATTATCCCCCCCCGTTTCATGCAATTTAAATTTTTTTGTTAAACTTTTAAAATGTATTTAATTAATGCACTAAAATTTAAGTTTTAAAATGAATTCAAAAACAATGAATGAAAGGGGAAGGAGATTTGGAAGACTACTCCTACAATACAACAGACTTCATGTATAGAGAACATTTCATCTACCATTAGTTTCTTCTTTCAGAATAATATGTATGGCAAACATGCAATTACTTGTTTCAACATAGTTTAATAGTATGCCTTTTTATTTTAATTCAGTAATTTACCAATTTATGTCATTGTCTATATCATAACTAGACCACTCTTTTGCAACACATATGTACAGTGCACAAAAAAAGGGGGAGGGAGGCAGTTCTATATCTCCGGTCTACCAATTAAAAAAATTAAAATTGTGTTTTTCATGTCTCGAATGCGCGACTTAGGATATATATTAGATTTATATACAGCAGCGGCTCTCAAACTTTTGACTAACGCATACCATCTAAAAAAAATTGAAAACCTTCAGTACCACCATTACAAAGTACTACTATCACTACCATTCTTAAACAAAGCTCAGATCGTATAAATTGACG